CAAAAGAAGGCATACAACCCACCAATCATCCCCACCCCAACAAATCAAATCCAAACAAACGCAACAGGCTATCGTTTGATAACAACAATATAGAAACCACCAGATTATGATGAGCAGATTTAAGAGAATTCAACAAAAATCCTACAACTTGAGACTTGATCTCCTTCAGACTCTGTGATGTTATGCTTTTTCTGATTTCGTTTGTCAATACGTACATTACGCTCAGTCAAAGGTTAATAATTTTGGACTATTCCATTTTGATTGCAGGGAAAGACGAAAAAATTATATCGGGATCGTTTTTTGTTTTGTTTTTTGGGTTTTTTTTTTTTGTTTTTGTTTTTTGGGTTTTTTTTTTCTTTCAGAGAAATTAAAAGCAAAAAACGAGCAAACAAGACAGAATAAGCAAAAAAGAAAGAAAGAAAGAAAGAAAGAAAGAAAGAAAGAAAGAAAGAAAGAAAATAAGAAAGAAAAAGGCAAAAAAGAAAGAAAGAAAATAAGAAAGAAAAAGGCAAAAAAGAAACAAAGAAAATAAGAAAGAAAGAAAAAAAAACAAAAAAAAATTTTTGAAAAAAGAAAAAAACAAACAAAAAGAAAATTAAAAATCAAAAAAAAAAAAAAGAACAGAAAAAAGAAAGAATAAAAAAAGAATAAGAAAAAAAAAAAAATGAAAAAGGAAAAATAAAAAAGAAAAAAAAAAAGAAAGAAAAAAAAAAAGAAAGAAAAAGAAAGAAAAAAAAAAGAAAAAAAAGCTATTAAAAAAATTGAAGCAAACAAGAAAAAGGGAATAAAAAAAAAAAAAGAAAAGAAAAAGAAAATTGATTCAAAAAGAAAAAAGAAAAGGAAAGAAAGAATGAAAGAAATTGAAGAAAAAAAAAAAAAATCAAAAAGAACACATAAACAAGAAAAAAGAAAGAAAGAAATCACTGAAAAAACAAAACGAAGAAAGAAAGAAAGAAAGAAAGAAAGAAAGAAAATCAAACAAGAAAAAAACAAAAATCAAACAAAAAACATAAAGAACAAAAAGAAAGAAAGAAAGAAAGAAAGAAAAAGGAAAATAAGAAAGAAAGAGCAAACAAAACAGAAAATGTAAACAAGAAAAAGCAAAAAAACAAACAAAGAAAAATCAAACAAGAAAAAAAAACAAACAAGAAAGAAAGCCACAAAAAGCAAAAAAAAACAAAGAAAAATCAAACAGGAAAAAAAGAAAACGCACTTTTATGTATTTAACGCCTGCTTCAGTGAAATGGAAATATTTCCATTTGTACTCTCTTCTTTAAATTACTGAGATTTTCTAAGCGTAGCGTAGATGTGGCACAAGGCCGAAAGCGTGTGGTAACCGATGAGGATTGAACGCACCACGTGGTTGCTATTGATTTAGCGAGACAAACTTGCTAACCATTGCACTACGTCGAAGCTTATGATTGTCATTTCAATATTTTTTTAAAGGTTAAAGGTAAAGGTTCAAAATGTAATCGGGAAATGTTCACGTACATTTTATAATGATCAAACTCGCAACGACCTTATCCAATTATTGGCTTAAGAATTGAGATTCGTCAACAAAATCAAATAGAAAACCGTGACGTCACACGTATTGCTACCATAGAATATAAGCAAGCTAAACAATAAAAAAAAACAAAAAGAGAAAGTGGAAAAAAACAGAAACAACAAGCTCTTCGAAGTGTGGCCAAATCTAGGAAAGTGAAAACGAAGACTGGGGAAAAGCCGAAAAAAAAAAACATGTAAAATTGTCCCAAATGCACATTAGCCATCCAAATCTCGCCGATTCATCTATGCCCATATAGGACGATCGACAGGAATGCGGAGTATGCCATGAATTAACCCATTACCTACCATGAGCCCCATTTGGGAATCTGTTAAAATTAAACTCACTATATGTTATTCCTTGTATTTACATTGAATTGTTTACATACCTTACATTTGCAGAGGTATATTTTACAAAACTTAGCCTTTAAAGTTTTTATTATTAGCCATAAGAAGACACTTTCTGTCGGAATTTTACATTTCACGAGTAAAAAAATAATGACTATTTTGAAAAGTATTTTTTTATTATTTCTAATCAATATTATTTTTTGATGTTTTATACACATATATATTTGATGTTCTAGTTTCTTTAAAAAAGACAATAGTAACTACTGAAATTAAACATAAGGAATAAATAAACTCCTAAGACACCTGTCTGGGCCAATAATGCGCATTAAAAATATTTGGCAGTTAATGGGTTAAATACCTTAATGCAATTCAGGATCAAATGTATCGAACTTGCTTTCACTATACAGTAATTTTACAACATCAGCAGTATTGTCATTCAAAAAAAACCTTCGATGTCGATGACCTGCTATCCTTAATAAAGAAAACGGGTGTCTACTCCAATATATGAATAGCTGACTTATAAAATTTAAAAAAAAGTAATGAAAGAAAAATGTGCGCACAAAACGTATTGTGTTAATAATACAAATGCTACTTAATACTGGTAATACTG